TCTTTAGAAAGCACGTAAGTCACACCCTTGCTCTCCTGAAGTCTGCACAAGGTTTACAGCTGACTACAGTGAGGTGAAGGCTTGACTTACACAGCCCCAGCAAAACTCTTGTCAAGTAATTTTGTGCCACAATGGAAAGCAATTCATTACGAAAGGGGCTAAAGCAAAAATCTAGCCAGGCAAATAAACATACCACTGTCAGTAGAATTTATTGAGACATTTTTGAGGCTCTCAAAGGGATTTTATTTTGAGACAATTTTCTATTGAAATTGTAATCACAGGACTGGGTGTGGAGTAACTTCTTATTTGGCAACTCAGCCCTGGTGAGAGGGAGGGCAAGTGTGTTACAATCACAAGCCATAAGGGAACAAAGGGGCTCAGGCCAGCCCTGCCGAGATGCCCCCCCCGAGCTGTGAAATACAAATCACTATAAGGCAGTAAAAGCCGCCCAGAATGTGCCTGCCTCCACTTCAAACTGATTTTTAAAATTTCCTTCAAGTCAGTTATGTGCTAAGGAGAAGGGAGAGGATATGAAGAAGCTAATGAGAAGGGACAGGATATGAAGAAGCTATTGAGAAACCTTGTGTATCTTCTCGTGCGGGTTAAGTTTAATTTCTTGAGTTTAACTGAACTGGAGTGATGAAACCAAACAAGGTCACCCTCCCACATCTCATTGTCTTGGGAAGTGCCAGTGGTTTTCATGCATCAAACTCTTGTCTGGGCTGCCTAATTTTGGGAGTTTAACTTCAGAGATGTCCCTCCCCGCAGGAGTCTCAAGCAAGTCTGCAAGTTTCATGGTGAAAGGGGCAGGTTTTCCTGCTCTTCAGGAGGAACATATGCCCACACACACCTCTGGTTATGCTTAATTAAGAAAATACACCTGCTGGAAGATGCAAAAACCTGATCTGAAGGCAGCTGAACCTACCATTGAAACTGGTGACAGCAAGAGGGAACGTCCTTACAGCACTTGGAGAAAATTGCTTGTTCCTCCTTACAAAACTGAAAGCAAAATCAAGATTAAAAAGAAAAACAAAACAAAAAGATTGAAAAACAACAGCTTATTTTGGTCTTAGAGAAGATCAATATTGAGCGGTTGAATAAATCATCATCCAGTTTGGCTGCTGAGCCTGGCTGAAGTCAAAGGGGAAGATACTATATTCCTGGGATTTGTCATGAGGAGGTTTGTCACATCTTCCAAAGGCATGCATGAGGGGGAATGAGACAGGGCCAAGTGCTGGGCAGAAATTATTTCACCTCCTCCACATCTTTGCAGCATAAAACATCTCTCATCATAAATCAGCTCTGATTAATTTATTATGGATGTTTATGTTAAATGTCTCAATTGCTCTTTCGTTCTTGGGAATACACTCTTATTTTCATAGATATTTATTAGTGCAGCTTCTCTAGGTGGCAGATTTCACTTCCCATCTCTTCTGGTTTTGGCTCTGTGGAGAGAAGGATGGAGTCATAAAACTAAAACACACACAGACACAGGGAGCAGGACACTGGCCCTTCCCTCCATCAATTGCAGAGAGACAATTTCAGGAGAAGTATAGCTGTGGAAGACATTATTTCCTTCAGTTCTGAACCTTGGTTATTCAATATCAGGGTTCTACTGCCCTTGTGAGGGCATGGAAATGCTACCAGAGAGCATTGCTGATACTTGCTTTCCTAATACAGCATGAAGTCAAAAGCTTGGGCACAGTATTTCACATCTGATACATTTTGAATGACTATTTAATATAAGTATTTCTTTACTTCTCTGGGTCCTCATTTCTTTCTGACACAAAAGCTCTCCCAAGTGTCTTTGTAAATTTGAGGTGAACTACTTCACTGCTCTCGAGGGTACAGAAGTCCTGTAAATGTATTTTACTACCTTTTCATATTTTATATGCAATTGAGTCTGGAGGACAGACCGATCTCCAGCCTTTTCTGTTCAGAACTCTGGCTTTTGGTTAAAATCAAAATCAATTTTTAAAAATCATCCTTCAACCACCTTGAAAGCCAAAGAGCATCTTGTAACATCTCAGAAAAAAAAGCAGAAGCTACATGAGAAAATTGTGGTAGGTGATTAAACTGATTAAATCCCGGGCTTAACTCTGGTCTCTCAGTCAATGCACTAGAAATGAGATGCACACATTCCAAATGATAATTAATTAAGCAGGAAAGGAAGGACAATATGACGTTATATATTTACTCAGAGCAACATAGGTACTACATGCTGTATTGATGACTATTACCTACAACAACAGTAGTTGCATAAAGCCAGATAATTAAATATGTACCTTCATGCCCTTCAGAAAGTACTGGAGTGGATGTCTATGTCTGGACATAAATTTTCCCATCAAATATTCCTCTGAGACTGCCTTAAATAAACAACAGCTCTGTGTGGGGGAAGAAGATAATAAGGAGAGCTTAAATATTAAAATGGTTTAATCTGTTTGTTTCCTAAGTAGGAACTGTTCTAGGAGGACTCATTGGTTTAAATCTCAGGAGAGGCAAAAAGCTAAAGACCATTTTTCAGTAATGTTGGTTTTAAAAATTCAGAGCGTTTCATTTTGCTAGCACTAGCAGATTAGTACTGATGAATCTTACGAATGAAATTGATTTTGGACTGTAATTATAATAGCAGGGAAATCATTCAATGGTCAGAGAAGGATGAAAATTCAGGTGTTGACCAACATTATACTGCAGATAAAAAAATTATACAGAGGATGACAGATACCAAAAGGAAATTATTAGGAAAAAGACTTAATGAGAGCAGAAAAATATTTGGAAGAAAAGTGATGAGAAGACTGATGGTTGATGAAAACCCTCTCCCAGCTTCTTCTCTTCCAGCAGAATAACCAGCTCCTGGACATTTTTCTCTACTAGAACTGCTCAGAAGATGTTCAAATATATCATCTTCAGCCTATAAGCAGCCCGGACATGTTTTTATTACCTTGTTTTCCTTCCTTTCCTTACTTCACTATTCCCACATTTTATTTTACCCACAAAACCGGAAGTAAAGAAGTTTTGCCTTAAACATATAGCAGCATGTGAATTCCCATGTGTGAAGGCTTTTTCTACCCTCAAGCACCTCCAGGCTTCTAAATCAAAGTGCAGAAGCTGTCAAAGCCAGCTAGACTATACTAAATATTTCCAGAGAAAGACATTTATACACACAATAACAATATGTTACAGGTACAAAGTGAGGAAGAACAATATATCCAATACACATAGACAGGAGTGTTTGCTTTTGGGAATAATAGTGAGAAGGTAGTTAAAATAGTGATATAGATTGTCAAAACATGATCTCAAAATCAAAATAACACTATCATCCCAAAGGCAACACTTTATAGAGCATTTCCTTAAGAAAAGAGGGAGGTTTTTTGGTTCAGAACCTTCTTTTTGCTGTTTTGAAAATAAATATTTTTGAACTTTGCTTTTCAAGATTCGTTGGATAAACCCAGACTTATAATGACAAATTAGAATGTACATTATGTCCAAGAAGTTACATTAAGGTATAAAAATCTGGATGAGTCCAAACCTTTATTGAAAGATATGTTTTTCTTCCTGTAAAACAACTACATGTTTCATCTTCCCCAGAAGTACAGTTTAAAGTGATGAAAAAAAAAATTACCTGGGAAATCATTTGCAGAGTAATATCAAAGAGAAGTATTAATAAAGGATCTCTGAAATTTGATCTGTGTTTCCTAACTTTGGTTAATTTCCTGCCTTCAAAAACCCATTTGTCGGCATGTTTCTCTATTTTGTCTTTTGTCATCACTGAAATATTTTGAGTGGGGGAGAAGCAACTGAGTTCCCTTCCCAGACATCACAGGTTAGTTTGAAATGGATTTACCTGGCTTGGTCAATGGGACCACGGGGTCTATTTCCATGCACTGGAATGAATGTGGTTGAGGATAAAGGAGACAAATGCACATCATGACGAATTTTCACTGATTTTCTGCAGCTTTGGCAACATTGCTCTCACATGATAAAAGACATACACAGAGTCTAAACTGGTTTTAAGACTGGTGGGTCATTCTTTTTCAAAGCCAACTGGAAAATGGAAACTTTACCTTCAGAAAACCAACAGCTTCTCACATAAATCTTCAGAAGGGAGGATTTCACTGACACTTCCCATAAGGCTGTGGACACTGTGTGCTGGTTTAAAGGTAAACCGGCAGGGGAAATGAACCCAACTCAAAAGAGAGATTATAAATCAGAATAACAATTTAATAAAACAATACAATAAGTACAATTATACAGACAAACAATTGCTTTTAACCCACAAAACCCAAATGTACAACCCAGCACCCTGGGGCATGAACAGAGTGATGTTCTTTGGGCCCCCTGAGTCCAAAGTAAAAGGAGAGGGGAAAACGTGTTGGTGAGAGTGCTGTTGCAGTCTGGTCAAGAGTGGTGGTTGCAGTCCGGTCGAGAGTGGTGGCTGCAGTCTGGTTGAGAGTGGCGGTCTGCAGTCTTCCTCTGGATCCCATGAGTGGTTAAAAAAAGTTCCAAGACTCCAAGATTATATATTCTCCAGTTCAGGCAGGAATGCCCAGTACTTCCCTCAGGGCGGGGAATTCCACAATGGGTGTGAGGACAAGAGCACCCTCCTGTCTCGCAGGCCTCTTAACACCCAGTTTATAGCCTGAGGAGTCAGGCTGCTCTGGAAAGAGGGTGTAAATAGTCTATTGATAACAGTTTCTGGGAAATGGCATGGAAGGCTATAGAATACACAGTTTTGGGTTACACCCAAACAGTGATGAACTGGTCCCAGCTGTTCTAACTAGGACACATCTACATATTGTGTGTAGATTTCCAGGGGAGGGAAGGTATCCCTGTGAACAAAACCAGTCTCAGCTGATTGGAAACTGGCTCTGTATCACGACTGCCCTCACCAGACAACACACCTGTGCTCACAGAGCCCAAGGTGTGTAACACCCACCACGTAATTTTCTGTTCAAATGACTCTATAAATCTCAAAAAAGAAGAAAAAAAAGAGAAAATAATAAATACTCTGACATACTTTATTACATCTGCCCATGGCGTGAAACATTTCCTATTTGTACAACAACATTTTGCCACTAGAAACCGACACCGTCCTGAAAGCAGAGTTTTGTCAGATGTTCAGCTTCATTTACCTTCATTTTCTGCTGCAGGCACAATTAAACCAAGCTCTTCCACTTCGGGTTAAGTCATGGAACATATTCACTCCAAAACTGGAACCATACATGAGCTTTTGCTGAAAGCACTGTCAGATCAGCACTGGAAGATTTTGAATGGGTGTATGAATAGGGCTTTTGTGGCCTTGCCACTTCTCAGGCACAAAGCCTTTTTAGCAAGCAAAATATTTTAGCCATTCTTATTTTTACTGTGTGATTTATAACACTGTCCCAAAGCCCTTTGTGAATTCAAAATGCTGTGACCATTTTTCCAGGGAGGAATGCTTAAATGTAATATTCCCAGACCCTTGTGTTCCTATAAGAGTCCATGATGCTGCAAATACTGACATGGGTGCTTTTAATAAATTATAGGATGGAATTTTGGCAGAATCAGAGCCTAAATAAGTGGTCATTTCAGAAACACCAAGTAGGTGTTTTACCACTGACCTTTGCAAGCCACAGAGCACAGAAGACTTTAAAGACTGCCTTCATGCATTAACACATTTTGCTAACTCTGTCTTTACTCATAGTGTCTAAGCAAATAAGAACAAAACTGATGTCCTTTTAGAATGCATTTTATTTATTTCTTTTTAGAAACCACCTTAAGGAAAATGCTGAAGTATCAAAAATGACAATCTTTTTAAATGCTATGGGTTTCTACGGAAGCTTAAAATAGAGTCAATATCTACTTTAGAAGCACTTTACTTCCAAGAGCAAGAAAACCTTATAAGGCATTAATGCTGCAGAGAACCTTTGAATAAAAAGGTATTTCTTTGGATGCACTGAATCAGAAGAGACTATTCTAAACCTGCATCTCGAACAAAGCTGAAGATGATTTATCTGGATCATGTTTAGGCTGAGCTAAGAAAGGCGTGGCATGTAAGGTTAAGTACAGTAGTAGTTAAAAGTTGGACATTCTCTGGGGACATCTGGAAAACCTGAATACAGTCAGCAGCCACTGACTGTAAGGATGTAAAAAGCACCTCAGTGGTGCTCTCGCTTCCCATATACACTTGATAAAAGGTCTACACAGGGGATAAACTCATTTTTAAGACCATCACAAATCAGGTCTATCAGGGTCTACAAACTCATAGCGAAGAATGGGGACAAGTGCAGTGCAAGAGGGTTTAGAGGGGTGTGCCACTGGAAACCACCTCAGAGCACAGATCTTGGCTCTACTCTACAAAAAAAGCCTTTAGTTTTACAGCTTATCTCTGGTAGAAGTACCAGTCTCTGTCTCTCAGCCCACATGTGGCTACATGTCGTCAAAGAGGTCCTCTGGCTCACAAGTGTTCTTCAGTGTTTCCAGGTTCCAATCCATAGAATGCTGGCCAGATGTCTTCTGTGAGGCCAGGTCAGGTCTGGAAATGTAAAGCAAAGGGATATGAAACAGATTTGGATAAAGATATAAATAATTCCAACATATACTTTGCCAAAGTAACCCTTCACAGTGAATTCTGAGCTTTTTGTTAAGTTTGCATTTAAGAGAAAAGTGGTTTTTGAAAGACCCAATCACTTGCAGAGACGGCAGTGGCAAAACAGATGAAATTCAGCTTACAAATGTCACAGCTTCAACTATTTCATCACAATTTTTTTTTTTAAGACCCTGAGAATTTCACCCTGAATTTCCACAGTGAGAGCGAGGGAGGACAGGAAAGATGCTGAAAACATGCCAAGAGCCCATGTGCCTTATTTCTCCTGTCTCTCCAGGACACCATTCCAGTAAGGCTCTGCCCTTATGCCTGGGAAGGTGAGGTATCCTGTGTTTCCAAAAACGGTGGCATTTGCAACAGCTTCTGATCCCTGTATTAATTTTATTATACTAATCTTATATGTATAGGCTGAATATACAAAAAAATATGAATCCTGCACAGAAAACTTTACTTCTGTGAGCTTAGAGAATTATGAATCACAGGCATGTGTGTTTTCAGTGACAAGACATTCCAGGTCAGCATCACTCCTTGCATTCAAAGTAAGACGTGATCTCCCAATCTTGCCTCAGTCCTTTGCTGCAGGGAATTGGGGTAGGAAGCAGGAATCAGACCTGACATGCTTGTACTGCAGGTTTTGGAGTATTGCTGGCTGGACTTTCATAAGGGTCGATGGCTTCATGACCAGGAATATTCCACTGGTGCAATCCTGACAACAGGTTAAAAACTCATACATTCCCAAGGCCAACATGTCAGCCACCAGGATGGAAAGGACTGGACAGAGGTGGTGGAGAGTGTTGCTCTTACTCTCAAGTAAGGGCTTCCCTGTGAGGGCTCACAAATACAATCTTAATCTTCAGACTGATTCAAGCATTTATTTTGCCTTCAACCACTCCACACTGCAGAGCCAACACAGCAAGTGAAATTCAGCAATTTTTTAAATTTGGTTTCAAACTGATTCAGAGCCAAATTTTCCAAACCTCATCCCTAGAAATCTCCAGGTAGCAGAAGTCTCTATGAAACACTGTGATTTCAAGATGCAGGGAGCTCCTTAAGTCACCAGGCACTGCCTCACATGACTCACAGCCTCTCATACTTCCAGTTCCTTGACCCCTTGGAGGGTCAGAGCTCTTATTATGGACCTTCCTGCTGTGGATCTGGGGGAATGAATTTCCTTTTGTTCCCCTTGTGCTCCTGAGGAATCAGCAAAACCCCAGTAAATGCTGAGTCCTGGATGCTGTCACTTCCCAAGTGGTCTCGAGTATTCATAGGGGTTTCCTCATCACTCAATCCACCACCCCAGTTCTGCAAACCTCTCTAAATTCAATGTGTTGCTATATTCGGATTATGATAATTACTTTACCTGAAAGTCTAACTGGCTTTCTATCAGGACTCTTCCAAAATGTTCATCTTCAGGCCTGAGTAATTTGTGTCCAAGCATTGTTTATTCCCCTTTTGGTATGCAGTGAGATCTAGACAAATGTTTGTCTCACCAAAAGTCACTGGGATTAACTGTGAAACAGACCTGCCAGAATTGGATCCTCAGAGCACTCCACACTGTTCTGATTGCCAGAAATCAACTTATTTCTGCCCTAATTTTAAAAAAATATATAGGCAGCACACCCCAACAAAGAGTTACATTCGAGTTCACTCAATGGAGCATTGAAGGCATGTTGTTCTTTTACTTTTCTGAGTCTATCCAAAGCATCAAGTCTCCAGTGAGAACAACATATGTAAATCACACAGTGTGGAGCCACACACTAATAATTTTAATTAATTCTGAAAGGTCTCATTAGCAAACAAATTAGGCTGTGAAGACCTCTGTACCACCAGGGGATATTTTAGGTATGGAATCTTTTTTTGGTTTTTGGAGCATATGCTCATATATCATTAAAGCATTTAGGAATAAAAGACTTCTGAGACCCCACATTTGTTGACTATGACATTACACCTATTCCAGTATTTTTAGATTTGGACAGGTAAACCTCATGGTGCCTATGTAATGTCAACGAGCATTTCATTCTCATTGGCTAAAATAACTGTTTTCAACACTATATTTGAGATCACACCCATAAGCCAAGTCATCGCTGAGTTTCAACATCACACAGTGAGAACTATTAAGCTTCTGTGTCCTTGTAACAACATGGTCCTCATTTAATCTCCAAAAGCTGTAACACCAGGCCTGAACCCAACTGCACTACCAGAGTGGAAGCATTAGGCTCTTCACACAAAGATCACAAGAAAATTTTTGGGTTTAAGACTTGGTGATTCCTACTTGCATGGCAATTACTCACTGAGTGGCAACAGCTTGCTTTGTGCTGTGAAGTTATTTTGAATCTTAGATTCTCGGTGAGGCTGTGTTGCCATACCCTGATGCATAACTGAGTTAATTTCTTCAAATTGCCATGAGTTGTATAGCCCTCTCTTGCCAAAAAGGCTGTAAGTAAGCTATTCTTCTTGAAAGTTTATTTTGCTGGATCTCTTTTTGAAGTCTTACCTTTTCGGTAAACTTAAAATCCATTAACACATCTGGAGAACTGCTGACCATAAGAGATCATTTCATATTTCCTGACATTTAGTTCATAAAATGAGACAGAGGACTAGATGCACAGCTGGTGTGAATCACTGGAGCACTAATAATGTCTGTGGAGCTCTGCTGACTTACACCAGATGAGATCCTGGCCCAAGAATTGGAAGAAAGGGGTTACATGACTTGATATTTCTTTCCACAGCTGAGGAAGAGCTGCAAGGAACAGAAGACATGAAACACTTTGGTGCCTTACAACACAGGAACTCGAAGCCATGCAAGGTGGTGGCTTTGCAGAGCAGCTACACAAATAAACACTTTTTTTCTGGAAAGATGAAGGATTCCTGCACTTTTCTATTCTTGTAGAGCCAGCCCCGCATGTTGTGGTTATGATTCTACTCGAATTTTTGTCCTTGAGCAACTCCCTTGGGATTTGGAAAGAGAAATACCCTTGTAAATTAACACAGATATAAAGACTTTCCAAGAAACTTGAGTAATCTAGGAGGCAACCCTGTGCCCTTCAACCATTGCATTATTTTCCTCATTTTTTTAATTAAGTAAAATAATCAGTTCCAACCATAAGCTGGCATTTTTCTAAGAGGGGAGATCTCAGTTGTCACCAGTGGTTTAGGAAAAGGCTGAATTTCTCAGCATGTACATCTTACCTTATCTTGGTTTAATGGTTCACTTTTGTCATTTTGACATTTATCTTAATGAAGGTTTTATAATAACAGAGGATATAATCTGATATAGTGTTATAAGAATAGGTGACAGCAGCAGCTTGTAGACAGAGAATTCATGGTCATTACAGCATTAACCTTAAGATTTTGAGGCATCTCAAACAGAAACTAAAGCTCATGGCCATAGGTAAAATCTTGGCCTTGAATAACCAGGATCCCGTGGTGCTCCCAGTGCTAGTGGGAGACATCCTGACTGGGCAAAAAGAGGAAAGTTAACCATAAAAAGAAAAAGAAATGGATAATGGAAGAGGGGAATAGCCTTTTAGATGCATTGAGAACACCATATGAAGACAGAGCTCTTTAAAGTGGAATACTAAAAGTGTAAGTAGACTAAATGGAAGCTACACGTGATTAAAAATATGATGGTATTCCCCTTCACAAATATGCTACAATGACTATAAGATAAATTATGGAGGTATTTTTCTTTTTAATTCAATTTAGAATGGAAAAAGAAATTAAAATGTGTTACTTTTTGGCAGTATTAAGAGTATTCCGCTTGCCAATGTAGTCCAGGCTGGCATTTATTCCTAGAAATGATATGAAAACAAGCCCACATACTTCTAAAGGATCCTGCAAAATGTAAACCCCAGAAAGTCTTGAAGAACTTATTGGATACAATCAGCTTCGTGACCTGAAATTACAGCTGAGGGACTTTTGCCTCAGTTAGTAAAGAAACTGAACTTCTTTTCTGCCAATTTCAATTGTCTGAAGAGAATGGTGGTGTCAGAGATCATCGGAGCCCTACCTACACCTGGCCCCAAAACAAATTCACAGAAACTAGAGAAAAATACTCAAGAAATAGCTGAAGAGAATGATTCCTGAGGTGTCCACACGTGGCATTTTCCTGTGCTCAGTGTACTGAGCAAACAGTCTAGTCTCAGTTAAGGGCACCAGACAGACAAAACCACCACCACCACCACTAATAATAATAATAACAATAATAACAACAATAACAATAATAATCTTGTTCAATTAGACAGTTAATGAAGAGTATTTTCAATGCAGAAACCACAAATTTAGTACTCAACCAGGGAATCAGTGTTCCTTCATAAGATTCCTCAGCTGGCTGGAGGCCAATCTGCAACTGCACCTGCATCCATCACCACCCCTGCACAGTAGGACAAGTCTGGAATCCTCTCAATCAACACAACTTAAGCAAAAACTCCAAAAACCAGGAACATTGCTAAACACTGTCTTCAGCTCCTGCAAGCGACACTCTTCATGTTCTAGAACCAGACACCATCAATTGGGGATGATTTTGTTTTATACTTGTACAAGTTGTCTTTTTCTTTATGTATCCTTGGAGACCTTCTGAGGGAGGAAAGCGGGCTTGGAGTCCCTCAAACATCACATAAATGGACACACTGATTGCAGCAAGAGCAAACTCACAAACAAACCTGCTACATTGAGAAGACTCTCATGTATCTCCAAACGATGTATCTTTTAATATTTGATATAACTTCCAATAACCACTCTAGATCAGCTCACAACACTACTAGTCATTAACTCTATTTATTTAGTCCTACAAAACAGGAGCTTTTTTAGGGACTTGTATCCTTTCACTTGCAAATTCCCAATTAACTTCAGTTGGCATTGGTGCATATCCTTATTTAAGAAGAACATTCTGGTTTAGTAATATAAATATAGTCCTAGATATTTCCATC